TGCTGGGAGAATGAAGTGTCTGGTAAACAGGCAGAGCCTCCCACTATAAGGAACATCCTCGATGAGAATCTTAGATTGGCTCCTGTCCCTGTGGCAAGTGATCAGCTTGGTTCCTTTTGCTTTTGGCAAGTGCATGAGAGGCAAACAGGAACCCCATGGTGGGAACCATTTGTGGGACATGTTTTTTTCATTAAAGTTCCACCTCGAGTCAGCTGGGAGAATCCAGTAAAGGAGAGTTGAAGGCCATACACACTCAGCTCTTCATCACCCCCATCAAACACCGAGAGAAGGGATTTCTCTGCAACGTCCCTTCCCGCTGTATAAGCCCGAGGAATGATCACCTGCTTGGTTCTTTCAGTTACCCCTCTTAAATGAGGTCAAACTGAAGCAGTTGAAAGCTGCGACTCACTAAATGAGCCTGGTTCTCCAAGGTCACCTGCATGTTCTGTGGGTCACCAGAGGGATGCTTCAAATGAGGTGCTGATGGGTCTCTCAGCCCTGGATATAGAACCCTCCACCAAATACCATTTGTGTTTACCAAAATAACTCCCCCAGTTAACACTGAGTCAATTCCTGCTCAAGGCCCCTGGATGTGCGTCAGAATAGAATTGTTCTTCAAATGTTTTTCAATGATAATTTTAAGGAGGCAAATCTGTGAGAACGTTATGGGCATGGGGACCATGGCATCTGACTTCCACCAGCTTCACAAGGTCGGAAGAATCTTCATCAACAGTATCAACAGCAGAGCACCTGATTCCTGAGAACAGGCGTGGCCCGTCCTCCCCATGCTTCATACCTTTCTGCCTATTTTGACTTAAACCATCCTTGCCGTGTCACTCAATACTTCCCTCCTGGGTTCAGTAATGAACTGCAATGACCACACAGAACTCAGAGAGCATATTCACAGTTATGGGGTTTATTAGGGAAAAAACCAGTTTACAATTCAGAATCAGGAACAACTTAGGACCCAGTTCTCCAGTGAAGATGGCCTCTTTTTAGCTGTACCCAAAGCAGGCCTCACTCTGGCCCTTGGCCTGGTGGCCCTGACCTTAGCCCTACATGGGCAAGCTCTTTTAGCTCTGTCATTTTAAATTCCTCCAAAAGCTCCCATTCTACCAGTTAGCCTCCTGCCCAAAGGCGTTCAACTTTCTTGCTCAGTGGGACAGGAAACACGGATATGTCTCTCACTGAACTCCTGGTTCTGCGGCCTCTGATCCACTGCCTTGCCATCTCATGTCAACTCTCTAATGTTACAACTCTGCCTCCTAGATCAAAGAGATTCAGAGTGGGGACCTCAGGTCCAGAGGATGTGCTTTTTCTGGCTCTCTTTTCTTGATAGTATGAGGCATCCACTTTGGCTCTAGGATAGCTCATGTTAAGCCTCATGGGATGGCGAAAGTGACCAGTCCTCATGTTAGTTTCACACCTACCGTATATGCATGGTCCCACCCCAGAAGGGTGGAATTTACTGTATTTGTATTATTAGCAAGCAATCCAGTCTTCTTGGTGGGGCATACTCACTTACATTTGCATAGTCCTATTCAGCCATGTTCAGCATGTTTGTGCAATGATATCAGTTTGAAGACCAAAGTGCACTTGATTAAAGGCATGGTCTTTTCAGTAATTTGCTATGCATCTGAGAGCTGGACAGTGAATAAGTATGCCAGGAGGAGAATGGATGTCTTTGATCTGTAGGCTTAGAAGAGAGTACTGACTATCCCATGGACGGTGAAAAGAACAAACAGAAATTCTGGTGATGCTTTGTCTTGGAGAAAGTGTATCCAGGATGCTCCTTGGAGGTAATTTGTCCCACACTCTTCAGGCTTATTGTTAGGAGAGGTTATTCCTTGGAGGACATCGTACGTGGAAAGGACGAAGGTAGATAAAAGAGAAGAAGCCCTTTAATGAGATGGATTGACACATTGACTATAGCAATGGATTTAAACAAGTCAGAAATAATGAGGATGGTGTGAGATAGGACACTGTTCAGATGGGGTCACTATGAATTGAACTTGACTCAATGGCAACTAACAACAACAACAACAACCAGTCATGTGTTGGGAATTACAATGATCATAGCTAGAAAAGCCATATTAAATAATTTACTGCACCCCTAGATCACCACGTCTTCCTGGATCACCAGGTCTTCCATCTGAGGCGAGCCTGGGTGAATTTGAAGTTGAACTTCTAACTTTACTGCCAGAAGTCAAGCGTGGTAATAATTTGCACCATCCAGGCATGCCCACGTGTTTACTTGGTTTATCTTTTGCAAAAACCCACTGCATACATAATTCCCATTGAAGTGCATATGTAGGAAGTGTCTTTGCAGATGAACCTGTTCTGTTGCTGTTCAGATTATTTAAATTAAGTGGTTAAAGTTGTGTACCATTGAGTCAGGACTGACCCGTAGCTCACCCTCAGAAACAGTCGCACGGAGATTGCCCATCCTTCTTCTATGGAGCAGCTGGTGGCCTTGAAGTGCGTGCCTTCAGAATTGTAGCGCAGCTTCTTGCCATGTAATTGATTATTTAAATTAAGTGGCTAGTTAGCATTCCTTTGTCTGCCTAGCCAATCTCAGAGCTGAGTTTCTTTTATTTTTTTTAGAGCTGTGTTTCTAAGTTCAGTGCCAGTCCCTACATGGCCTGGGCATGGTGGTCTCTGTTTTGGCCTTTGTCCCAAGGGTCTGTGATCTGCTTTGACACTAAGTGCTTAGTTGTGCTTTTGAGGGTTGTTTTGCAGTGTTAGCACCATACACATTCCAGGTGTAACACCAGGCGTACCTGGACAGGCCGTGATGGTGAGAACCGGATCAGATCTAGGGTTGCAGATTCTGGAGGAAGATAATTCAGCCCTGGCGACCCCTTGCTTATCTTCCTCCAGGCAGATGTGGTGGCTTCTATGCAGCAACAGCCCCTGAGGGCACAGCCCTGGGCGGTTACTATTTCTCCATCTCCCATTGCTTCAAATCTTTATATGAACATGACTTGGGGTAAACTTAGGTGGAGGAAATGGCCCCAACTCTGCCTCTAACTTGAGGTGTTGACCTTGGACCAGGCTCTTCCTGTTCCACAAAATGGGAATGGTGAGGGGTAGTTCAGGTTTCAGCTCTAAGAAGTTGGGATTCTCTGTCAGGGCTGGTCGCTTCTTTGATGTCATCAGGGAACTGGAAGAGCTGAGAGAAAAATGAGAGCCAAGGTGGTCAGGTGGCAGGACTACGGGCCGGAATCCTGTGGTGCTTCAGTCTGTCCGTCTCCCAGGAACAGGAATGAAGAGACGAAGGTGGCAGAGGCTCCCCAGCTAGTTGACAGAAAGCAGTCATCCCTAGTTGACAGAATGTCCGAAGGATTACCAAGTCCAACACCTCATTTTACAGATGAGGAAACCGAGGCCCAGGCGGAAAGGGACCTGCCTGAGTTCACAAAGTGAGGCCGGAACGGAAGCAGGATTGGAACCCAATCCCCCAGCCACCGCGTGGACAGGAATGGTGTGGACCAGCACCTCCTCTTTCAGTGTCTCTTGGCCCCTCACTTGGCCTCAGCCACGTGAATGATCACAAAGCCCTTGATGTCTGGGAAGTGGGGGCTGACCAGGTCCACCTGCAGCTGTCTGGGACCGCTCCTGGAGGGGGTGATGTCAAACTGGACTGAGGCCTTCTCCTGAGGCTCCAGGGTGGGCACACTGAAAAAAAAAAGAGGACAAAGACATAGGCAGACCAAACCCTCCTTTTCTGGCTGGTCTGCCTGTCCAGGCACAAGATCATGCCCTAGAGTTTGATATTCAAGTCTCACCACTCTGCCCCCAGTTAAATCTTCCCTTCCTCCACTTCCCACTGCTTCTACCCAGCCAGGCCAGTTTCCTCCCTGTAATTTGAACACACTTTACACTTTCCCTCTTCTGGCCTTTTGCTTACTCCATTCCTCCTACCATCTCCAGGAGACTTGAACTGTTTATGTGAGCCATGGAAATCTGGAGCCAAGAAGGTTTCTATCCTTCTTGATATATGAAAAGCTTCTCTATCCATCATTTAGGACCTTGCTCAAGTATCTCTTACCCAGGGACTTCACCTTGACCCTACTCTATCCCAACCCAAGGGCTATCCCTAACCTCCTAGCCCCTGGGAGGCCCTTTTTGGTTGTATCAATTCAACTGTCCTCATCCAGCTGTGTCTGAGAGTCATTCTCTCCATCAGAAACACATGTAGCTCATCGTGGCATTTCTAGTGATTGGCATGCAGCCCACGACAAAGCCAGTATGACCAAGAGCCATTGAGTAAGTGAATGAATGAAAGAATGGATAAATCAGTGAATGATTGAGAGTGACTATATGAATGAATGGATGAGTCTGTGAGTGAATGAACGAATAAATGGATGAATAAATGAGTGAGGGAGAAGATGAAGGGATGAATGGATGAATGAACAAGGCAGAGCCGAATTGAGGAGTTGAAAAATAGGTGAATAGATGAGTAGAAAAAGTGAGTGGATGAGTGGGTCAAAGAAAGGAGATGAATGAGGGTGAAGGAATGAATAAGTAAAGGATAAATGAGTGAAATGCGCATGAATAATGTGAGCGGATGAGATCGCCTGGGCGATCTTCAGCTGCGTGAATGATTCTGGGAGTGGACGTGGGAGTATACGAAGGAGTGCTGATGGGCTGAGGCTGTCTGGTTCCCAGGGTCCAGAATCCTTTCTACCCGCACAGTTTCTTCCACATCCTGTGCAAGGCGGCCCTGCCCCATGCTGGCACTTACTCAATGCTGAGCTGGCCCTGGAGCAGGCCGCTGCCCTCCACCATCAGCACACAGTCCTCCACAATTTCCGAGAGGGGGTTGACCACCATCACTTGCACTGTAACTGCCATGCCCACCGTGGCCGGACCCAGCACCTGGACAGGCAACACTCGTGAGACTTCTTCCTCCGCCCCACCTCCCCCGCCAGAGAACACCTGCTCCTGTCCTACTCAGAGAAGAAGACACTTGACCCCCCAGTCCATCATCATATCCATCCCCTTTCCTTCCCATGAGTCCACCTCCCACCCTTGAGAAGCTGGACTGAAGTGGACAGACCCTCCAGCTTCTGATGTCCTCTGCATCTTTGCAAGGACCCACCAGGGCCAGGGTGTACGTGTGAGGACAGGAGTCACCTTGATGGTGATGAAGTCCTCCAGAGTAATGTCCTTCTCCACCAGGAGCTTCTCCCCTTTCGTGATGAAACACATGGCAGCCAACAGGATCTTTTTGTCTTCTGTCAGGTCTTCCTTGTACTGAGAGTAAGGTATTTTAATTGGGATGTTTTCCTCTGGAAAGGAAAGCAGAGAGGAGAGTTAAGAGGGCTGGCATTCTTCAGTGGTCTCCAGAAGAAGGGAATATCTAGTTAATGACTAAAGCAATTTTAGTCCTTACAACCATCTGGAGACAGGTCTTAATCTATGACTCCTCAACTCATAAATTAAGAAACTTGAGACTTGGATAAGAGATTCTCTCCTCCCGCTAATTATAAATCAAGGAAACCAAGGAGCTAAGATGTGGAAGATTCAAACTCAGACCAACCTAGTACCATGAAAAGAAAAAAAAAAATTCCTGTATGTTACCCTGCTCTGTTCTGACTACTGCCTCTTGGTCCAAGTATAGGTTTCGTATTAGCACAATTAAATGTTCCGGGATTCCCATTCTTCTCAGAGTCAGCCACAGTTTGTTATGATGCACACAGGCATTAATGATAAAGCTAACTTACACTGAGAATAATATACTGTATCATTTATTCCTTGCTACAAAACATGTGGGAGAGCCATAGTTCTCAAAGTTCCTAGGACCTGTATCAGTTTCATCAAGAACTTGCTAGAAATGATCTATCCTTTCCACCACTGGGCCAAGTGGCAGCACCATGATAGATGGAGAAGAGATTGAGATTGCTAACAATTTCAAAACTCTTGGTACCAGCAGTCAGGAAATCCAAAGATGATTTGCATTGGGAATATCTTCCATCAGGGCCCTCTCAAGAGTGATGAGTAGCAATGATATCTGTCAGTCTAGAGACTAAGTGTGCCTAATCCAGGCCATGGTCTTCGCAATCACTTGCTATGCAACTGAGAGTTGGGCAATGACTAAGGATAACAGAAGAAAGACAGATGTCTTTGAGTTGTGGTGCTGGAGAAGAGTATTGAATATTCCAAGGGCTTCCAAGACAACAAACAGGTTTTCCTAAAGAGAGTGAAACCAAGCTGCTCCTTGGAGGCAAGGATTTTGAGGCTGTCTCACATACCTTAAGCATGTTGCGGGAGGGACCACTCCTTGGAGAGGGACATCACATTTAGAAGGATTAAGGGACAACACAAAAGAGAAAGACCCTGGAGGAGATTGATTGACACAGTAACCAGAATAGTGGGGTTAGGAGATTCAGAGACAGTGTGATTGGCTCAGGATAGGATGAGGTTCAGAGCTATTGTGCAAAGGGTCACTGTGAATTGTAGGTGACTCGATGGCACATAACAGTAACAAGCCTGAGGAATAAAAACCTTATGGGATGTTTTGAGAAGCTTTCTAGAGGATGCTAATGCATGCAGAGGTTGAGAATCAATGAGGTAGGGACTACTATCTCCATTTTATAGATGAAATGGTTGAGGGTTAGAGATCAAGGGAAAAAATTCTGCATCTCAACCACCTGTGTGTATGTCATTGTTAAAGACAGTTTCCTGGTGTTCCAATCACTTTGTTGACACATTCCAATTTATGAAATGCCAATACTATATTTCTGCTCTCACCTTCCTGTCACCTCTTCCTTATCTGAGGGAAATAGAGGCTTATCAGACAGAGTCCATGAGCCCTCGTTTCTGACATGGCTAATCCAGGAGAACGAAGCATCAGTGTTTCTCATATGGCTGCAGAACCACCTGGTTCTGGCTTCTTAACATAGTTTCTTGGGCCTTTTACTTGGACATTCCAATACAGAGGGATATCTGGGACCTCTGTCCTGCTGAAATCCTTAAAAGGGATTTAAGGAATGACTGAACTCCACAATGTAAGTTTTTAAAATCCCACTATGGAGGTTAGAGTTTATAAAAATTCAGAAAGTCTTTACTTCTAAAGCTACTGTTAATAGAATGAAAGGACAATCCCCAGATAGGGAGAAAATATTTGCAGCTCACATATCTTAAAGGACTTGCAATCAGAATATATAAATAATAATAATAATAATGAGAGAAGACCAAAATAACCAATCTACTTAACAAAAATAAGTATGATGCCTTCCAAAGAAGATGTGTGGATTACAAATAAGCACATGGAAACATGTACAACATCATTAATTATTATAGACATGCAAATTAAAACCACACTAAGATACCACTAGAGTGATGTATGGCTTAAGGTCTACAATAAATTCTGTGAAATATTCTTTTTCTTTTTAGGACATTATGTGATTTGGATGTAATGCGAGCACCATATTATGCACAGGCTGCCCCAGGTTACAAATGTCCTATTTATGCACAACCAATGGTATGAACCAATCTCTGTAAAACCTATTACATTAAAACTGTGAGATACATACAATGGCTTCTAACAACAAATGCATGCTAATTGCAGTGTGCATCAAAACAGTATTATTCTTTTTATTATGGTATTATTATGTTAAAGATGCTTCCATATATTTGTGACTGTTTCTTTTAATTTTTTTATGCACAGAAAGATGCACTATATACTGAGACAAACATTTGACTAACTGACATTAGCTACAAACCATGTCTAATTCTTCTGATTAATGTACAAGTTTCAGGTAAAAACAGATTTAGGAAACACATTTATTTGTAATCCACAGACAGCCTATATTTAGGAAAGCTATATCCACAATTAATACACTTGGTAACAGCATTCAGGAGGTCAGGAGACTCCTGATTGCACTGGGAAGGTCTGTAGTTAGAGATCTCTCCAAATTCTTGAAGAACTGTTGATGCATAATATAAAGAAAGAGGAACCTTTAAAAAAATTAAAACTATTGAGGAGAATGATGTCAGTTTGAGGACTACAGCACCTGATTCAAGCCGCAGTCTTTTCAGTCACTTGCTACACGTCTAAGAGCTGGACGAAGACTAAGGATGACAGAAGAAGAATTGATGCGTTTGAGCTGTGGCTTTGGAAAAGAGTGCTGAAGACCCCAGGGGCAGCCAAATAGAACTAACAGATATTTCTGGAGAAGATGCAGCCAGAGTGCTCCTTGGAAGCAAAGATGATAAAGCTTTATCTTTTGTACTTTGGGCATGTTGTTAGGAGAGGTTATTCCTTGGAGAGGGACATCATGCTTGGAAAAGTGGAGGGACAGCAAAGATGAGGAGGACTCTCAACCAGGTGGACTGACATAGTGCTTACAGCAATGGGCTTGAGTGTGTCAGAAATTGTAAGGCTGGCACAGAGTAGACAGGGTTCAGGTCTCAGCTCTTAGGACTGCTATGAATTATTATCAACTCAACAACAACAACAACAACAACAGTGTAGCTATATCAATTAAATAGCCAAGGCATACATACGTACATACATATGGTGGTACATACATACCTAGGGTGGTACATACATACCACCGTATTTCAGCTAATGTTTTCAGAGAGGCAAAATATGGATAAATGAATTAATACTGTATGATGTTGTATATGTAATACAATCTACAACCAAACTCATTGCAGTTGAGACAACTTTTACTTACATTGATTGTTGTTGTTGATTGCCGTCAAGTTGAGCACGACTCATAGCAACAAAAGGCCTGAAGCCCTTCTATAACTATTGTCATTTATCAAAGCTCATTGAGTTTCCAGAGGCATGTTGTTTAGGAAGTGGATGCCACTCCTGCTTCCAAATACATTGATTAGATGTTATTATTATGTTGTCAACTGCAACTCATAGTGACTCTATGAATAGTAGCTCTGAACCCTGTTCTATCCTGAGCCAATCTCATTGTCTCTGACACACCTGCCTTATTACCCCAGTCACTACTAGTCATTACCCCTAGTCCATCTCATCTAGGGTCTTCCTCTTCTGCACTGACCCTCTACCTTTTCCAGCATGTTGCCCTTCTCCAAGGACAGGCCCTCCTTGGCAGAGTAAAATGGCCCCCTTAGGTTTCCAAGGCGGTAAATTCCCCCCCCCCCTTGTTGTGTACCTTTGAATTGGATCCAACTGGCATAGGAGGAGATTGCTCCTCCTTCTCCAGTGGAGCATCTGGTGCATTTGAATTGTGTGCAATTGCAGTGCAGCTTCTTGCCACTAGGCCGGCCACCAGAGCTCCCCAAGGCTGTAAATCTTTACAGAAGCAGCTGGAGGTTCAAAGAGCTGACCTTCCAGTTTAGCAGCTGAGGGAGAGCTTTCACCATTGTGCCCCAGGGGTCCTACAAAATACACTTTAAATAGTCACCGCTGTATATAGGCTAATGAGTCTTGAGGGAGAAAGACAGCAACCTCCTATGCGATTTACACATCCAAAAACCTGCTTGGGGCTCAGCTCTGAGTTGGTCTCGACGCCATGGCAGTGACCTTGACTTTTGCATATGGGTTGATACATAGTCTGTGTAGTTCACTGCTATTGAGTTGGTTCTGAGTCACAGCAACATCACATGACACAGGCAACACTGCCCAGCTCTGCGCCCTCCTCACAATTGCTGCCATTGCCGTACGTGGTTGTAGCCGCTGCATCAATCCAGCTGATTGTGTGTCCTCTTCTTTTTGTTAACCCTCCACTTTACCAAACATAATGTCCTTCTCCAAGGAGTAGGCCCTTGTGAAAACATGCCCAGATATAGTGTCACCATCCTTACCTCTTAGGAGGAAGCTGAGTCCTTATTTTCCTGGGCAGATTTGTTTGTTCTTTTGACCTACCATGGTTTTAGTCAATATTCTTTGATAGAATCACAATTCAAAGGCATCAGTTCTTCAGTCAAGGCTCCTCCCACCCAAACCATGGTATTCAGTCTCATGATATGCCCGTGAAAGTTGGGCAATAGGAAATCTGTACTCACCACAACTGGAGCTTGCAGGGCTAATGTAGTAGTGAGTGAATCTGGTGGCTGTTGTTGGTATGGTTCTGCCCTATCAATGACACTGAACTTACCACTGACTTACTGTGTGTACATTATAATATGTTGTATAGCTACACAGCCAATAGAGAATCTTTCTCCACAGAGAGTTGCACTGTTGACACAAAGGTCAAGCTGCTCTGCTCTGGCAGTTTGAACCCAGCAGCTGCTCTACGGGAGAAGGATGGGCAGTCTCCCATGCTGTGATTTACAGCCTGGAAACTCAACAGAGGGTCAGCTGCAC